TCTTAGCCTTTCCTCGTAGCTCATTCCTCTCGGTTCCGGGACGAGCCTGGTGGCATACCGCTGAATCTTCTCTAACTTTGTCTTGTGTTTAACTAGGTATGGACTCCAGGCTGGAGCTGCATGCTCCAGGATTGGTCTTGCATAAGTGGTATACAGGGTTCTGAATGATTCCTTACACAAGTTTCTAAAGGCAGTTATGTTGGCCAGCCTAGCATATGCCGCTGATGATTTTCTTTTGATGTGGGCCTCTGGGGACAGGTTCGGTATGATATCAACACCAAGATCTTTCTCTATTTGACTTGCAGGATTTCACCTCCCAGATGATACCTTGTGTTTAGCCTCCTGCTCCCTTTGCCTAATTTCATTACCTTACACTTTCCTGAGTTGAACTTTAGCAGCCATTTTCTAGACCATTCCTCCAGTTTGTCCAGTTCATCCTGTAGTCTGTATCTTCATCCGTCTTGATTTTTCTCATAATTTTTGCATCAGCAAACGAGTCTATACCCTCCAGAAGATTGTTTACATATATTAGAAACAGGATGGGTCAAAGTACTGAGCCCTGTGGGACTCCGCTGGTGACATCTCGCCACTTTGATGTCTTCCCCCATTACTGTTACTCGCCGTTTCCTGTTGCTCAAGTATTCCCTTATCCACTAGAGCACCTTCCCTTTTTACTCCTGCCTGTTGCTCCAACTTTAACAGCCTTTTATGGGGTACTGTGTCAAAGGCTTTCTGGCAGTCCAGGAAAATGCAGTCGGCCCACCCTTCTCTTTCCTGCCTAATTTTTGTTGCCTGGTCATAGAATTCTATTAAACCTGTGAGGCACGATTTACCATCCCTGAACCCATGTTGGTGGTGCGTTACAAAGTTATTTCCCTCCAGGTGTTCTAAGAGCCTTTTCCTCAAGATCTTCTCCATCACCTTGCATGGTATAAAAGTTAGGGAAACTGGCCTCGGTGCCTCTTGCCTGTCACCCTTGTATATTGGGACTACGTTAGCTGTGTGTGTGTGTGTGTGCGTGCATGCAAAAAATAAAAACTAATTTAATTTAAAATTTTTAAATTTTGTGCAAAATATAAGACTTAAAAATACACCTTTTTAGTGGGCAGAGCTGTGATAGTTTGTGCGGTGACTTGAGGTATGAGAGACGAGACTCCTGTTTTCCTTGGATGTTTCAACATTTACAAACTAAGAATAAGATTGATTTACTTGGTGTAATTCATTCCAACCATATACAGTGTGATGTAGTGAAAACCATCTGAACATGCATGGATGTTGGCCCAAGAGAGATGACATGGGGCCTAATTGGCACCATATGGATAACAAATGTGGATTGAAACAGATGCAAGACACCAATGCACCCCCACCAGATGACTGCAGGCTCCTAGTACAAAAGACTCATGATGATGATTCAATTGATTGGTTTACCTGGATTACTCCATCATAGCCATGTGGAATTGCGAGAACCATAAGAGCGTCATTGGTGGGTCAATTACACTCTTATGGAAAACCATAAGGGTGTAATTAAAATTTTATACCGTGATGCTAACAGCATTCACATAATGTAACCATGAAATTATAAAGAATTTTTTTATTGGATCATGGTAAACTCTCTTATTCACATGTCCTTATTTGCATCATTCAAGTATAGGCCAGACAATTTTGGTTTAAATTGGGGTGATGACTACCACATTACCCTGTGCATCATAAAACGAAAACGGCTTGAAATATAAGGGGTTAAAGTGTTGAAGTTTGAGTGATGGAATGTGTACAAGGTTCAGATATCGGTGAACTCGATGGTGGTTATACTCGCAGCACGGCTGTGGTTTGGTGTCTGTGCACCCTGCAGTGGGATCTCTTGCTCTTATAGAAAATTAACGTGAGAAATTTGGTGTTCAGGATCTAGTAACCAGGATTCCCGTAATAACCGGCATAGTTTTGGCTAGTTTTAGCAAGTATATTGAGCAGCTCTGCTTGATGTTCTATTGGCAACTGACAAGAATGCGGGGGCTATACACTGCTTGGATCAATGAGAATTTTGTCCACTATAAATCTTTAGTGGTTGTGATAGTGTAATGCTATAGTTCTTGTGTATGAATTTTTGACTCCCGTTGTATTGCTAGTTCAAATAGGAGAAAAGATGATGCACGGCACCAATTGTATTGCTCTTCATCCTATGTTCTTGCCCTTGTTAAACAGTCGGATGTTCCACTGTTGGCAAATTTATCTTGGATGCATTGAAGAATTAGACAGGACTGTAGCCTGGCTTGGATTTGTCAACATGCTGTAGTAGTAGATTGGGATCCCTCGGAAAGCGATATGCCTGCAAAAATGACAACTATAAACACAACCTGGCTACTAGGCTATGGTAACTGACTACAGGACTTTCAGATTGAGCTCATGGCAAATAAACATTCATATAAATTCCCAGTTGGCAATTGAAGGAAAACTATTAATATAAAGAATAAATGACTTAAGACTAAATAGCAGTGGTGAATAAGTGCAAAAGAGTTGGATGGAAAGTACTGGTCAGGATTAATTTGTATGGGGTCATGGGTAAATATCTTTGTTTTATCTTGAAGTTCAGAGGCGTTTTTCAGTATGGAAGCGTAGTCATGGTTAGTAGGCGTGTAAAAGCCTAAAAATTATTTATAAGTGTACAGAATAAAGAATGATACTCTTGGAAATAAATCTTTGATTAGCTTTATCTTGTTCTTCTTATGTCCCCTTTTAGATTTACTTTTGGTTGGCATATTATAGTGGACGTAAATGCACTTGAATGTGTACAGAGAAGAACACTGGATCCCAGGCATTAGAAACCTCCAAAGTAGAGGTTAACATTGCTCAATTTGCATTTCCTAGAAAGAAGATTAATGGGTGACCAATTAAACACTCGCACTCTTCGAACGACCCTCGCGTCAGATTTTCTCCGCTAAGGTCCGAGCATCGGACATGTGCGTCCAATAAAGAAAATTTGTATAAAGTTTGTTTATTATCCGATTGACTTCGGGATAGTTTCAAAATGAGCCCCTTTAGAGTGCACACAATTTGATACCAAAATGAAACGTGTAACACGAAACTTGATATCGGAACACTTGAAAGATTATAAATACATTTCTGGTCAAAATTTTAAAGTATTTGTTAAAATTCTATTTATTGTGCTATTATTATGGGACTAGTTTTAAAATGCATGCCTTTAGATTGCAAACAATTAGATACCAAAATGAAAGATGTAACACAAATTTGTCAGAACACTGGAAAGATGTAAATTTTGATAGCATCCAAAATTAAAATGTTTAAAATTCATTATTGCTATATTGTTATGGTAAATTTTTAAAATGCGCACCTTTATATTGCAACACGAAAATTGATGTTATCAAATTAAGTCTTTCATTTTGGTATCAAACTGAACGAGTATACACATTAGGCTGAGGTGTACAAATTGCTTATTCACTGGTAACTTTAGGCTTTGCTGCGGGGAGTCACGTCAGGTCTTTGGACATTGTATGCATATACACCTGTAGGGAATTTTATTGGTGATGATGCAATGATATTGCAATGATGCCAAAACGAACGACGTAGCACAAGAATTAAGGTGTGAAAACTGAAACGAGTAGACATTTCGGTGTCGCTATGCGCTTGCCCGCACGATTGCCTGCATGCGGGGTGCATGACCTCAAAATGGGCAGCGTGCATGCCCGGTGCACGAAAGTGTTGAGTATGTACAAGGATGGGGGGGGGATATAAAGAACCTGTAAGTAATATTTAGATTTATAGAAAAGAAAATGTGGAATTGATCCAAAATTTCTAATATTTTCAATTCTAGAATGACTTGGGTAAATACTGATTGGAACTATAGTTGATTATAGACCATATATTATCAGGTAATGACTTTGTATTCTTGGATTGTTCTAAGCGTATGTTTGATGTGTGTATTAACACTATCGCTCACCGGGCAGGCACGCGGTCAACTTGGGGGTCATGCAGAGCGTGTGGGTAAGCGCGTGGTGACGCCTAAATGTGTGTACTCGTTTCAGCTTTCTCGCCTTGATTCTCGTGCTACGTCGCTCGTTTTGGTATCATGTTCGCAATTAAATTTCCTACAGGCGTGTATAAATATAATGTCCAAAAGCCTGGCGTGACTCCCAACAGCAAAGCCTAAAGTCGGTAGAAGTTACCCCTGAGTGCACAAAATCAGTAACGTGTGCATACTCGTTCCATTTTTCTCACCTTAATTCTCGTGCTACGTCGCTCGTTTTGGTATCATTGTGTTCGCAATTAAATTCCCTACAGGTGTGTGTGAATGTAATGTACAAAAGCCTGGAGTGCCTCCCCGCAGAAAAGCCTAAAGTTACCCTTGAACGAGCACCAATTTGTACACTGCAACCTAATGTGTATACTCGTTCAGTTTGATAACATCAAATTTCGTGTTACGTCTTTCATTTTGGTATCAAATTGTTCGCAATAAAAAGGCACGTATTTTAAAACTAGTCCCAAGATAAAAGGACAATAGAATTTTAACAAATATTTTAATATTTTGACCAAAAACCTATTTATAATCTTTAAAGTGTTCGGACATAAAGTTTCATGTTATATCTTTCATTTTGGTATCAAATTGTGCGCAATCTAAAGGCGCTTATTTTGATACTATCCCGAGGTCGATTGGATAAAAGAATTTTATACAAATTATTTTTTGTAGTGGACGCAAGTCCGGTCCAAAATTACAGATAGTGTTAAAGATGTGTCGGGGCTGATAGGCCTAGGTTTCCATTCGTGTTCTTGTGAAGTTTGTGGTACTAGACATTAATGGTTAACTACTGTTAATTGCTACCATCTATTGAAAAATAGGACCCATTTGATATACAGGTGATGGTAGTAAAGAATTTTGGAAAGCTTTGTCATATTTTGTAAGCTGCCCCTTCCACATTTTTGATGGCAAAAAAAAAAGATTAAAATTGTTTCACTCCCACTTAAATGCACAATTTTTCTAACTACTACAGACCTGGTGATGACAAGTCTTGGAAGTCACAGATTGTGGTACCACCAAGAGATCGAAGGAAACGGACTTCTGATGTCACAGACACGAAAGGCAATGAATTTGAAGATTTCTGTTTGAAACGCGACCTATTAATGGGCATCTTTGAGAAGGGTTGGGAAAGACCGTCTCCCATCCAGGAGGCTTCCATTCCTGTAGCGCTTAGTGGGAGAGATATCTTGGCACGGGCTAAAAATGGCACTGGCAAAACCGGAGCATATTCTATTCCACTTTTAGAACAGGTACGTATCTCAAACCTACTTGTGGTTGGTATAGGTGTATTTAAAAATTAAAAATGGGACATTGTATAGATGTGTATATAAACTTGAAAAAATATCCAATGAATATTTGGATATTGTTTACTGGTGAATAATTGATATTGTTCATAGTGTTGGTAAGCTACTTAATACTTTAAATTTTCTAGATTGATACCAGTCTAGATCACATTCAAGCCATGGTTATCGTCCCAACACGGGAGTTGGCTCTGCAGACTAGTCACATTTGTAATGAGTTGGCCAAGCATATTGGAGTGAAGGTTATGGTGACAACTGGAGGTACCAATTTAAAGGTACGTTTCCATACGTTAATGTTGGTTTTGTGTTCAGATGGTTAAAAATAGGTTTTTTGTGGTAAAATTTAGATATCTGATTGCAATTAGTACTTTATTATAAAGGTTCACATAAATTTGCATGCTATAGTTAGACAAAGAATTCGAATCTAAATTCTCCTCTGGGATATGAGGATACTGCTTCTTGGGGAGCATGGAGGCAATGTTTGAAACATTGCCCCCATGCCCTCCAAGAAGCGTGCTCTCCTCGAAGCACGCTCTCCTCCATTGGGCATTAGTCGAAGCCCTGTTGCTAATTAACTGCATCTGTAGCATAAGATTTTGGCATTCCTACTGTCTAACCCATAAGCTTTGCCATAAATTTTAATGTTAATGGTCTGAAATTAAACTGCTGAGCCTATCATACGTTCGTAAAATGCTAATTGCTGTAATGGTTAAAGCCTGTTGTAGAATATTTTCACTTTTCTGGGGAATGAATGTGGCTGTTGAGGGGGAGGGGGTCCCCAGAGTTAAACTGACTTGTCAAACACTTGAGTATCTACCCCAGTAATGTTTTGTCTACTTGTTGGCCACTCAATCTGCCCATCATCTGTCATGTTACAAAATCTCAATGGGGAAGTTTGTCATTATTGGCTCATAAGAAAATGCACCCAGAATGTCCTGGTCGGCAATTTGAGGAGGAAGCTGGTATCCTAATTTGTAGTTGGGTGGTGGTGTGAGGTGGGCCTGGAGGGAGTGAATCTCCTGCCAGGTTGGGGATTTCTTCAACCTGGCTGTAAGTAGTCCATTCTTGGTATTTAAAATTGATGGATGAATTACAATCATTGCCTTTGGGTAGTGATAAGTGTAAGATACAGTATTCTAATTGCTTGGTTAATTAACTACCAAGAACAATAAAAATAGGGTTCTAGTTAATAAATACTAGTATGCCAGGCAATCCTATCTTTGCTCCCTTGTTCTATTACTTGAATTAATGTAACCATTATCCTCCTGTCTTGAGCTTTTGCTTCGATATAAATTAACATTTGCTAGAAGACGGGTCTAGTGGCTAGGGGTATCAAGCAGGGTGAGGTTGATCTTGTCTAAATTGAAGGACAAGAAAAGTATCTACAGGTGTCAGCCAAGGCACCTGTCTGCACAATGAGTACTTGTTACAATAATCTAACATTATGACTCCCTGTGTCCACTTGATTAATTAAGGGAGAAGGACGGTATATATGGTACAGGTGTAGCAGTATTTAGAGGCTAAAATAAGCTACACAATATTCCAGTTATGGTGTAGTTTGTTTTTGGCAAGCAAAGAAAATTAACCATACAGTATGTCATACTATAAAATTTTGTATAAAATTAGGGTAAAAATACAACCCCAAATTTTAGTACCATACCATTTTTATTTACTCTAAGGAAAACTTAGATGCTCTAAGTTTCCTTGCTTGGCTTGGCCCATCTCCCCTTCCTTTCATTACAGTATTCTCAAGAAAAATACCTTATGGTTTAACAGGGTAATGTACAAAGATTTGTGCTTGTATTTTGACAAACTGACTGAAGATGGGGAAAAGTTTTGGAATGAAGTCGCAAGAGTAGTTTAATTAAATGACACTTTTTAGAGTGTGACTCGAACTTGAATGGAAAGAATAGTTAGTATTGGTATGCCAAAAATAATGCTTCTGAAATGGTTTACATGTATTGTACTTACACCCCTCAGCATAATATCTTCCTTTAGTGTGAAGGCTAAGAATTAACAATTACCATGTAATTACCCAAGTGATTAATGATTAAACTTTCACCATCTTCCTTTAATGTGGAGGTGACTGTTGAGGGATGGAGATTAAATACATGTAAACAGATTCAGCATTACTTTTCACTAACCAATACTGTAAGGAAGTGTTGGTATTTATTGCATTGGGTGAAGTAGACCAATAATTGTGTAAAGTAGCTTTTACCCCAAAGTCTCTTGAGTAGGTATGCATGCAAAATGTCTTATTTTTTTCTTACAATCTTGATTGATATAAAGGGAACCTGTGACCAAACCCATCCTGTATCTTCTGTTTTGTATACTCTTCTCGAGATACTGGGCATAATTGGTATTTGCTCGATTCTTTAACCTTCAAGAAGCCTCATTCCATGCATACCTCCCCTGTCCTTAGTCTTTTGAAACGTCTTTGTTTGACACGCCTACATTGAACAAGTACTCATTATTTTTATACTATACAGTATATAATATTGAGTATATACTAGTATATACTATACAGTATTGAATTATTATTGCTGCATAAAAAAAAAAATTGTGGTGTATCACTGAGAATTGGTAGGACCCATGAGACTTCAAACCTGCACACTGAGGACACCCAAACGTGTGCCTTAGACTACGGCATAGTAAAAACCATGCAACCTGGGAATTGACTGAATCCTTGAGGGGTCCTGAGGCTTCCACAGAGTCCCAGTCAGGATTTCACACGCACTGCCTGCATGCACTCTGGCTTTGATAAGAGTACTGTCCCAAACACTTGCCTTAATAAGATTCCTTTGTTCATTTTAACGCAATGTATAGAGGGAAATAGATAGGAAGATTAACTTGATTACCAGGTTGCATTATTTTTAGCACGTTACCCAGGCAAGTTGAACAGCCCCCCCCCCCCCCCAAGACCATGTGGGGCACATTTGTCATAAGGGGCACACACGACTTATTGAAGTCATTTAATAAAAATTATTACAGAATAGTTTTATTACTTAATCTTCAATAACTTTGTGGAATCTAAAAATTAAAGAATTAAATTAAATAAAATCGCCAGTAAAAAAAAAAACACTAATTTTAGGCCAGCTTGACGGTTAATGTTTATTTTTAGAAGTTGTAACTAGCTTGCCTCCCAGCTGCACTCGTGTTTTTGCGCTTTTATTGCTTGTTAAAAAGGTGATAGTTTTAAATTATAAGAACCAAATTGCTGTGTCCTTTGTATGGGCGACAGATGTACTTGCAAAGGGCCAACTGTTTGACATTCCTGGTCTAGGGTGTACCCAGTTTGCAGGTTTGAATCTTCATGGTGCCTAGTATAGTTATTTACCCCCCCTTCCCCCCCTCCCTCCCTCTCCAATTGTGTAATGCTCTAGTACTTCATATCCTGATGGCCCTACACTCTTACCTCACTGTTTCTTGGTCTGATACTTGCCACTGCTCCCCCTACCCTCTCCCTTATGCAATTGGTTGCCACCACTTTAATGATATCTTGTTAATCTCCCAGTCTCTTGTGGTAAATGCCAGTTGTACTCTTACTGGTTGGTAAATTTTCTTTTCTTGTCTTAAAATGGTGCCCAGTGTTTTCTGGACACCACCTTTACACTGTAGCAGATTTTGTATTGCACTGTTCAGTTTTGTTTGATATAAGTTAGTATTGTATTCACTGTAAATAGTGACTGTGCCATATAATGGATATCAACAAATGGATCTATCGGTTTTAATGTATAGAATTTATGCTTTCCTTGTATTGCTTCTGTATTGTACTGATGCTGCCTTCCCTGTGGTATTGAGGAATGTGGCCATTAAAGGTAAAAATATAATTTGGTGCCTCCTTCAGGTAACGATCATTTCTAAACTTTCAGGATGATATTATGAGAATCTATGAGACTGTACATGCTGTCATTGCCACACCTGGAAGAATCCTGGATCTTATGGAGAAAAAAGTAGCTGTAATGGATAAATGCAAGATGCTGGTGTTAGACGAGGTAAATTTTTTTCCATACCACTAGCTTAATTTATACTGAAATATTTAAAGTTAATGTAGTGATAATATACATTTTTAAATCTTAAATTATTTTTTTCTCAAACTTATCAGGCTGATAAACTGCTGTCTCAAGATTTCAAAGGAATGTTGGATCGTGTCATCTCGTACCTGCCTCCTGAAAGACAGATTCTCTTGTACTCTGCGACATTTCCCCTCACAGTTGAGCAATTCATGCAGAAGCACTTAAGGTTTGTGGTGGTAAAAGCTATGAAGTTTTCTCAATAACACTTGATTAGATCCTAGTTGCCAATTGTGGCCATTGGTTCTATTGTATTGCTTGCCATGACTGGTATTAATGGTAGTAGTATGACGCTAGTCCTCATGAAATGGTTCCTCGAATTGGTACAGTATTTGAAAAGTACTTGTCACTAACTATATATTTATTACTCCCGACCCCGTCTGGTGGAAGGGTAGTGAACATGAATGTTGGAAAAAGCCAGGTGAGCAAACCTTGTCCAGTTTGGTTGTTTGAGACTTCATGAATGTTGCAGACGAGGTGTCCCAATAACGTGGCCGAAATATGTTGACCAAACCACACTAGAAAGTGAAGGGACAAAGACGTTTTGGTCCGTCCTGGACCACTCTAAAATAGATTGTCTTCATGAATGTTGAAGGGTCACTTCTTTGAAGCCCCAAAACCACTTGTGCCAGCATGAACAGTGATAAGTCATACATTATCATTTAGTCGTGTATGGGTGTTGACAGGTCTCTAGGCACAATGTCGCATGGAAATCTAAGACAATTGACTGATGGTAATTTGGCCCAAGTTTCATAAAAGGGGTGTGGCAACCCTTTGCAACACAATATTTTGAACTGGCTGAAGGAAATTTTGTTTTTGAAATGGGTATAAAGTGGAGCATATTTTGGTAAAAGACCTCTACTGCCCAAAGTGCTAAAGAAAAATGCCAAAGTCTGATGATGCTTAGGGTTTCCTGTATGACCACTACATTAACCACTGTAAACTACAATATTTAACACAATAAACAAATGTTGTATTTGTGCAGGAGTAAGATCGGTTATGAAAATAAAAATGTCCGCAACTGCATTATTCCTGCCACGTGGTCGACGGTACTCATAAGTGTTAAAATAGTGAACCTAAAAGATGCTGGGAAGTATGGCAATGATGGGTATTGGGTAAATGAGGGTGGACATTGTGGGTGCATGGCAGTAAAGCAAGGATGAGTAGGTGGAAAGGTGCAACTCAAGACTGGTAATGCATTGGCTGCTACTAGTATGAAGAGAAAGTGAAATGGCTTGCCAAGACCCTAAAGGGTGTCTTGTACTCTGCCAACACCATTGAGGCACACTAAAGGGTGTTGGCAAGTGATTAAATAACCTCCTGCTACCTAATGCCAGTATGAACAGCAGAAGTAGTTTGAAAAAGTGAACTTGACTTCATGAAGCATCCGGATGACTAAACTGGCCAATGTTCGTTAACCTGGCCTTTCTCTGAACTGTATTAAACATCCATGTCAAGGGTGAAAAGGGGGGGGGGGTGTTAAAGGCACTATGGTTCATAGTACATAGCAAAATTAAACTTATTATAGTATAATTATAAGTATCTCCTCTCTTCAGATCACCATACGAAATAAACTTGATGGATGAACTAACACTGAAGGGTGTTACGCAATACTATGCATTTGTTAAAGAGCGGCAGAAGGTCCATTGTTTAAATACATTATTTTCAAAGGTGAGATGATGATCACGTGCATACAGTATATTGAATGGCTGCAATTATTCGGACAATGTAGCTATTTTTAGATTGTTTAAACATTAAATTGTGTAAATAAAAACAAAATTTTGTGAAATTGAATTGAGAGTACAGCTATTTCTAACTTGCAGTTACAAATCAACCAAAGCATCATCTTCTGCAACTCAACTCAGCGTGTTGAATTATTGGCTAAAAAAATCACTGATCTTGGCTATTCGTGCTACTATATCCATGCAAAGATGGCACAGGCTCACCGCAACCGTGTCTTCCACGATTTCCGTGGTGGTCTCTGCAGGAACTTGGTTTGTTCAGGTAAGCCTTTTGTTAGTCAAAGCCATGTAGGGTTGTCACTCATTGGTTGGTAAGAAATGTTACTTTAATACTGTTTGATGTATTTATAAGCTTTCATTGGAAATAAGCTTTAGGGTACATTTCCTGCCCTTATGGAAAGTGGGTAGAATGGATGGAAAGGAAAGAGGTAGTGGGATGGTTTTTCTGATGAAAATTTTTGGGTATTCTTGCTGGGGTAAAGCTTATAAAGATTTAAACAGACATTTTATAAAAAAATATTAAAAAAAAACTTAATTGCTTGGCTGATGATGAAGTGGTGAATATTAGTGCCTTTGACAACTTTTATGAAGCGTTGACCGTTTCTTCTTCTTTGCAGATTTGTTTACCAGAGGCATAGACATCCAAGCTGTTAATGTGGTAATTAACTTTGACTTTCCAAAGATGGCAGAAACTTATCTGCATAGAATCGGCAGATCGGGACGTTTTGGCCACCTTGGTATAGCGATCAATCTAATAACTTTTGATGATCGCTTCGCACTTCACCGTATTGAGCAAGAGCTAGGAACAGAAATTAAACCCATTCCAAAGGTATAGAATATACAAGTTTTTGAGCTAAAATTACTTTATTCCTTGCAACCGAACGAGACTAGATTTTGTGCATAGATACTAAAATGCTTCGGTGTGTGGATAGAGATGTTCTATAGTCTGAGGGTGGGATGAACCTACAGTTTGCACTGGTGTGGCTAGATCTAGTGAAGATGGGACACTTGTAACATTTATGGACTTCAAAGTATTGGAATACGTTAAAAAAACGACAACATAAAGCTAAGATCTGGTGATCTAGTGTAAGAATGGTGTCCTAAGGCACAAAAAGGTATTGACTAAAATTGTGTTACTGTAGTATCATTTAAGTCTAGATATCAAACTAGTGTTTAAATATATATATAGTTTGCGTTTACTGCAAAAGCGTTCCTTGTTCCAACTTCCGACCAGTCATTCGTTCTTAAATCTGTGCCTGTTGGCAGGGTCATTGGTCTTGTTACTGGTAATAAACTGTATGCACTTAGGGTAGCCTGGCCCCTTGGCTTTCCTTCCTACCACTGTAACAGGCGGTGGGGAAATGGCTCTGGCAAGGTTGCGCATTAACCATACATGGTTACTCGTGGGGGGGACTCCATTGAGTGCCGTCCCGCTCCTTATTGTTCGAACTACATTATCTTATTGTCGTGCATATCCTTGCTGAATGCCCGACTTTCGGAATTCTTGGTGAATCGGATACTTTTGATATAGTTCGCCTTGTGCGTTTCTGTTCTTGTATTGGCATCCTTGGTGATATTTAGCGCCCTCTGATTATTCCACATATTTGATGGTGCTACATGGCCTTCCTGGTTTGGTGCCTTCTTTTGATAATTACATGCTTGTCAGTGTTTATTCCCCATTTTCAACTGGCAGTTATTAGGTTTTATACATTTTTATTAGAAAGTTCTGTGACTTCCTTCACTGTTATATTATAAGGTTTTCCTATATTCTGATTAAGTTCCTTCTCTCAGGTTATTTGTGAAACTAAGCACTAAAAAACTAATCACTACATAGTTTCTCTTAATGTACATAACTTTCACTAATTTAAAAAGGAACATAAATATTTTTTGGTCTTGGCCTGTGTCTAATTACTTTTTGAAGCCCATTCTTGAATTAGATATGCTTTCTAATGTTATTTAAGCTTCTCAAATGTGAAGTTTCAATTATGGTGGTCTGATGCAGGGGATGTGGTAGCTTTGGAATGGCTTAAACCAGTTGGTCGTTTCACTTGTTTGGTGTGGTAGCTGCTTTGGTGGTAGGCCATGTGAAGTCTTGCTGTGCGACGCTCTTGGAGTCTTGTTATTCATTTTTTTTTTTTTTTTTTTTTTTTTTTTTTTTTGTATGCGTACCAATAGCTTAATCCTTCCCCCACCCCTTTCCTTTCCAGCCCATTGTCAGCATGAAGAGGCTAGGTAGACGGCTGCCAGGGTGTGATGCTCCATGGGATGGTTGTCCTTTTTTGTGGCCTTGTGCACCTGCTGCCGTCTTCACTAATTGTGCTGGTTACAGTTTCCTCTTCCTTATGTTTCATTTCATCTCTTCCCCCCCCCCCCCCCCCTCTTCTCCTTTCTCCTTGTCTTTCCCGCCAACCTTTAGAGTCCTGATTATTCTTTCAGACATCTTCTGTTTTGATGCCCGGATGTTTGGGGAGGTGCACATTTGCCCATAGAACTGCGGTACCTAACGTTGCAAGCGAGGGGATGCTTTTATTGTCAATCCTCTCTTGTTGCTGAACCAGATCTCAACGATTCTTAAGGTGACGATTGTGGGGCATAAACTCTTGATGCACACGTGGTGGGGGGGGGGGCCAACCTGTCTCTTGTTGGGTGTCGTATCTAATTGTGGCTCCATGGTGGGTATGGGGGCTCATTCGTAAATGAAATGACCTCGTTTCTATGCTGCTGAATGATCCTCTTATAACTTCTCAGGCTCATGGGGCGAGCGACCAGGCCCCCCCCCCAGTCTGACTGTTTTGAAGACTGGGATCTGTAGCCCCGTTACATTGGGCACAAAGCTACACCTTTGACCCTCTTTACTACCCCCTTTTCTTCCCACTCCCTCTGTGGTAGGGTTGAACCCCAGGATGGGAGCCGAGCGGACAACACACTGGACACATGATCCTGGGCGCCGGTGAGAAACGATGGGCAGAGTTTTTCACCCTATGCCCCTGTTACCTAGCAGTAAATAGGTACCTGGGAGTTAGTTACCCGTCATGGGCGTGGAGGCCTGGTCGAGGACTGGGCCGCAGGGACACTTAAGCCCCGAAATCAACTCGAGACAACCCCTCGTGATGACCACCTCGTATAACTCGGAGCGGCTACTTCTCTCATTACAACTGCACCTTTTTACCATTCCTCTCACTGGAGGTGCTCGGTGCCTTCTCCCCCACAGATGCCCTCGCACGGTCCCTTCCAGTGCTAATACGTTTAAACACCTTGTTTGGTCCTGCTACATGGACTAAACACTTTGATCTCTCCTATATGGATTCTACTCTACTCTTCCTGGCAATTTCTTCCTCCATAAACACCTTGTTGATTCGGTGGATGCCTGTTACTTTTAACCCCACCCTATTTGGTACAATTGTCATTGCTGCTGCTTCTCGGAAAGCGGCTGTCTGCTTAGCCGCATTGGAGACCTTCCCCCCCCCCCCCCCTGTTAGGATCTCCAAAAAAGGCCCAGTTAAATGTCAGTATTGGCACTTGTCCTCCCTCACTATGTGACTGGTGTTTGGGACTTGAAAGACTGCCATGAAGATAAACATATCCTTGAAGCCAAAGACCATTATGTCTTCCAGGTTGATACGTAAACCTGACCCCCTCGTGGTCGTTGTCGTCAGCTGCTTAGAGTTGAATCACTTTTTATGGCAGGACCCTTCTGCCTTCTAATTTTTGCTGGTTCCAGATGCTCCATTCAGGAGTACATTCCCTCTCCTAGGCTTTGCAGCAAGTGCTGGAAATTTGGTCATGGTTCCCTCAAATGCACAAGTGTGGTGGGCATTTGATCCTTGTGTACAAGGGTTCTGCAAATTTTTTCGGGTTAATCTTTGACACTCGTCTGTCTTCGTTGCCCCATATCTCTTGCCTCTGAATTGAATGCTTATAAGGCCCTTAACCTCCTTAAGGTTTTGTTCCAATACTTCTTGGGGGAGCTGATAGGCAAACGCTCCTCTTTACATTCCTCTCTTGTCTAAACTCGCTTATGGTTGCCCTGTGTTCGTGTCTGTTTCTCCTCCTACTCTTCGCTGTCTTGATGCTCTGCACCTTACTGGGTTACGCCTCTGCTCTGGTGCCTTTCGTTAGACTTCTACCCCTCAGCCTGTATGTTGAAACCGGCATCCTGTCTCTGTGCCTCTGTCTGCCTGTCGTACTTTGACTTTTTACACCCCCCCCCTCCCCTGTGGTGCCTGTTCCCCGTAACCACCTCCCTCTTTCTGAACAGTTGACTCGTCTACAGAATTCTTTGTTAGTGTTACCAATATTTCTAGTGTTCCATCCTTGCTCCTGTGGAGGGTTCCCCTTCTTAAATTTTGTAAAACCCTGACCCAAGTGACTAAAGCTTTTATCCCTAATACAGTTCCAAAATGCCTTTTCCTTGAACACTTTTCTTCCCACTCCATTCCCGTCTTCACCGATGGGGTGCAAGTCTGCAGACGGTGTAGGTTACTCTGTTGTTTTTCCTGCCCACGTGTATGTGTCGCCTGCCCTGGAGACTAGCATCTTCACAGCAGAACTTTGCTATTCTCCCTGCTCTTCGTCAACTGTTTTCTTGCTGTCAAGCCTCCTTTGTTGTTGACTCTTGCAGTGCTCTCATGGCTCTGAAGTCCTTTAATTCAGTTCATCCGGTGGTAGTCGAAATTCGGCATTGGCCGTTTCTTATCTCTGGTAAATTTAAGGTGGAGGTTTGCTGGGTTCCCAACAATATTGGAATCTCTAAATGAACATGTAGATGCTGCCAGTGAGGAAGCCATCTGCACTTCTCATCTCTCGTTAAGATATTCCTTATTCAGACTTTTACCTAGTTTTTTTTTTCGTTCCCCATCCTTGCCCATTGGCAGAGTTGTTGGTCTACTGTTACTGGTAACAAATTGCGTGCTCTGAAGAGTAGTCCCCATGGCCTTACTTAACCGGCAGTGGGAAACGGCTCGGGCAAGGTTGCACATTGGCCATACACGCCCAACACATGGGCACTTAATAGAGCGCTGCCCTGCTCCTTACTGTTAAAACTGCATTGTCCCTCTTATGGTCTTGCATATCCTTGTTCGTCCTGAAAGTAAAGACATTTAACGTGTCTTGCTTCTCAACTGTCCCTTGCGGTCACTTGTCCCTCGGTAGAATTCTTGGTGAATCTGATACTTTTGATATTGTTTGCCTTGTGCGTTTCTGTTCTCATATTGGCATCCTTAGTGATATTTAGCGTGCTCTGATTATTCTGCACATTTTTGGTGCTACATAGCCTTTCTGGCTTGGTGCCTTCTTTTGATAATTATTTACTTAACCACTGTCTGAAAATACTTTTGGTGAAAACTTACTGCACAGTTCTGAGACGAAAGTCTCTTGCCTGTTAATTTTGTGTAATTTGTAGGTGAAGTACATAAAAATGGAAGTTAAATTCTTGTTGTTCTAAATTCCAGGTCATCGATCCAGCCCTGTATGTTGCGGAGTGTCACTTTGAAGATGACGACGAGGGCAATATCAGTAAATAACTCCCTAACAAAAGATAGGCTGGAAGGTGTTTATTCCCAGTTAAAGTGACCCAAGGCCACTTGTGCCAGCCATTCATCAGGGAAGGCAAAATGCCTCGCTTGCTACATAATCGCCTTCATCCATCTGAAGGAAACTGGGAAGAGTTAAGGTGGGCATAAAATGCACAGAAAATTTAATAAGTGGGTTTCTGAATGAGAAATATGGAATGGCTTGTTTACTTAGATGTAAAGTATGGTAAAAGATTGTTGGTGCAGAATGTGACATTATTCTCAGGTGGTGATTTACAAATGTACAGTTATTAAAAGAAGCACATAGCGAATTTTTTTTTTGGGGTGGGGGGTAGGGGGGAGTTTTTAATAATTTACTGGCAGATGGTGATGCTTAGACTGCTTGGGCTATGTTCTCTGATGCTCAGCTGGTCCACTGAGTGAGCAGCTGCAATGGACAGCACTGAAAGTGAAGTGTGATGTGGTATGTTTGGTACAAGAGGCCAATGTTACTACCAAGGAAGTGACAGAAAATACTTGATTAGAATTGTTTTTAAATGCTGATGGCATAAATAGCATCCTACACAAACATTTGTGGCCAGAAGTGTTCAATAATTTAATGCTGAAAACTGTTGGCTAGTGAGCAAAATGGTCAGTGAAGATGTGACCCAAATGCTGGGTCTTGTTCTTGAACAATATTAATTACTATACTCGCAAGACTTGAGTCACTGACTGGCTTATACAAGAAACCTGAAATTGGGTTATACAAATGTTAGTCTGTGATGTATTTCTAATGATGAACAGGACCCTTATTTTGAAGCAAGACCGGCGAGCAAGCAAGAGGGAATGTTGCCTCCCTTGTGGAAAGTATCTGGTGGTCTTGGCTGCTGAATATTTATGTACAGTTAGAACAAGTGCATTGTTAACTCGGCAGTTTACCATGGTTCAATACTTTTTTAAAAATTGACTTCCTCATAAATCATGTTTCAAAAAGAGGTTAAAAAAAATATAACCCCAGTGTCTAATTAGGGGTTTGCTGAACTGATGACAATGCACATTTGTAGTTTTGTAAATCTATTTTTATACAAGATGGGGTTGAAGTAGCCAGTGGTAATGAAAGTTTACTCTTGTTCATCTTGAGGGTGGGTCCTTGCAATGTGAAGCTTTTGTTACCATTGGTTCTTTATACCCCTCTGTACAGTTTTCTGTGTGAAGGTCTAACTCTGCAGAGTTAAAACTTGCATAGCAGGAATGTGAATATTTGACCATCATTGGTGCAGTGCTGCGAGATAAGGACTCAAAAATGAGGCACCAAGAGTAGGGAGATTTTTTTATATTTTTTTGAGATTTGCCAAGTTAGTGGTGATGGGTATGATGGTCCTTGAGCCCAATGATGGAAATTGTGAAAATTTAAATTTATGGATTCAATGACTAAAGCTTCAGCTACTGTCTAGGCTTTTGTGCTGTCCTAGACTTTGCGGAGGTTTAAGACTATTGACTCTTAAAATTTAGCCCTTATATTGGCTGCAATAAGAAATTGTACCTGCAGCTTGTGGTATTTTGACACACTACTGTATGGACCCACCCAAACTTCATCTGACATTATGCTCTTCAAAATTTAATCCTAGTCTTCTCCTTATCTTAATATAGTCAGATGAGGTTTATTCCTCTTCTTGATTCGAAAAATGAGCATTTCAAAATTTCATTATTATAATTCTAACTTTTTTGATTGGCATATATAGCACTTCGTGGCTGGTTGTAATCCTGTAGCCACTGCTTTTTAAATACACTTTGACCTTGTTACTGGGCGAGCTTGGCAAACAATGGTTAACATTGTACCTTAATGATCAAGCATGTAACATCTAGCCTGGTATCTCTTCTCAGATGCTATCCCCCCCCAAAAAAAAATTAGGATTACATTCTGCATGGCTCTTAGTCATGAGAAAATGCTGACCATCTGGCATTGAGGTAGCTTCATCCATCCTAGAATGTTTTGTTGGTGCTGGCTTGTGTAGCAACGATGGGTTTGTAATGAATACTAGAGAATATTGTGGAATGAATAATTTTTTCTTTTGGAGCAAAACAAAATTTTCTATGATGGAAGATTCATATCTGAAAGAATAAATTTGCCTTGGTGATTGGTATTCTTGTGGAAATTTTCAGTTTTCCCATCACAATGTTTAAAATTATCAGATACACTAAAGTATTGCCCATCTATATGGGCATGTACTTGGATTAAAGAAAAAGTTAAGACTCCAGGGAATATTAAACTCCAAGGCACTAAGTTTATTGGCTGCTCTTCTTAGATCTGAGTGCAGCACTTGAATACTTTTTTTTATTATTATTTCATGAAGATCATGAATTCAGCATGGAAAAGATTTAAGATATTAAGTGTTCTGTAATTTTTCATTAATATCATTCAAGGTTGCTCTTGAACAAGCTTAAAGTACATCGAATAAACCTATTGTACTAGTCATATTTGGTAATATCGTAATAGAAATTTAGTTTTCAGTGGTATATATATTCATGCATTTTGATCCATTTGACATAATTGCTGAAATTCCAAGACTCAAAACTGCAAAAAAATGCCAAGCGTTTTACTGTTGGCGCTATTAATGTTGAGCATGGCGATGACCCACAATATATCTATGGGTAACTTCATATTGTTTATGAATATATGAAAATAGCAAAATGGTTGAATACAAAAAATTGCTCTTTTAATGTTTGGATTATAATTTTTTTTTGTTTTTGAAGGCAGTGATGAGATGCAGGAGCTTAGCTCCCTGGGGAAAGTGGGCGGGGAAAAAAAGACAAAAAAAATTACAACAAAAATGAGTAGAGGAAAATTTGATTGCAAACCACCTCGGAAATTTCTTTGTTTCATATTTGTATTCTTATACAAAGTTGTTAAAATTATTCGGTCAAAAGTAAAGAATCCTCACTCCTGTTGGTTTTTCTTTCCCTGTAACATTGGTAAAGGTAAACGCTTCAAATGTCTACCATAATGGTGCAAATTATGACAGTTAAATGTGCAATTGGGGTTTGGATGCCACTGAATTGACAAAATTGCCTGTTAAAAGATTGAGCCTTGAATATAGAGGGTGCTAGTAAATCTTTAGGTGGACAAAATGGACGAACAATGGCTTAGAAATATTGGTTAATAGTTGCTCAACTCGCCTGGTTGAGTTGAGCTTCGCCTAGTTGAGCTTTGGGTTTGCCCCCTCCATTTCCAGCCTGTTGTCTTCGGGAGATGCTTGATGGTGGGGATGGCTGTCTTTAGTGTGATTGGACATAACGCTTCAAAACTATGGGACATTATCCTTCCCGGTTTGGTGCTTTCATTTGATTACTTACTTTGAAGCGTTATGTAAAGCTGCTATCTTTACAAATTATGCTGGTTTCTTTTTCCCCTCTTAAGTTTTGTTTTTTCTTCCCCGCCTCTTACACGTTAAGATTGTTCCTTCTAGTCGTTCGTCCGTATTCTTTCCGGTGTGTTTTGACGTCGCGTGATTGGGAAGGCGCTCTGACCAGTGGAACTGGTGGTAAAGAGGCTTCAAACCCTACCTTCGCTGCTGAGCCCGATTTCTACGGACTGCAGCCAGTCCTCCAAACAAAGATCCAAAAGTGATTCCATGCACCCGCCAAACCCCCTGTTTATGAATGAAAAGCAATTTACACAAGACTCGCAACTGCTGACGTTCGAACATATCCGGAACAAGTGTTTCACTGACGAATTTTGTTCTAATCACAACGCTATAAATGCTTCACCCACGTACTACAAATACAAATAATCGCCAACAGAACCTAAACACCTAACCTATCCTATCCTATGCCTATATATGCACAATATGCTAATATATCATAATATTAATTTATACTTGAGAAAATTTCCGTTTTGAATGAACAGCATGTTAAAACTTATGAATGCGTCTGTGGGATTGACCGCTGGATGTAATGGACTTGAGTCGAGGACGGGTTGCGGACTGACGGTTCTTAAGGTGACCATTGTGGGGTGTATATCGATGATGCACCAAAGCGAGACAGTTTTGTCGAGTGTTCTATTCCCTAATTGTGGCTCAATCGTAGATGAAATTATATTAATGTTCAAATCCACAAGGGCCGTGACAAGGATTCGAACCTGCGTCCGGGAGCATCCCAGACACTCCCTTAATCGACTGAGCTACGACAGGGTTTAAAGTTGAAACCGAAGTTCTACTGAACGTCCTTGATCCCGTAGCCTCATCGTGGCACAAACCAGGATTTTACACTCCCCCCTGCACCCGAGCTATGTCAATAGTCCATTCTCCCTCTTCGCCCTTACATCATCACACAGAGATCATACTAACGTGATGCATCAAATGAACAAATCCACAAGGGCTGTGACGAGGATTTGTTCATTTGATGCATCGCGTTAGTGTGATCTGTGTGTAATGATGTAAGGGCGAAGAGGGAGAACGGCCTATTGACATAGCTCGGGTGCAGGGGGGAGTTGTGTAAAATCCTGGTTTGTGCCTAGGAGAGGCTACGGGATCCACTATGTCCCCTAACTCCCCTTGCCACTTCGGGGGAGTATTGGGTGTTCATGTAGCTTCAGGACACCATTGCCCCCAGCCACAGGGCATGGCAAGAAGGCACCCCTAAGCATACCTAATTCCCTATCAAACAGACTAAAATACACACAAATGGCAGATCTCATCACAACCCACAAGAGTTATGATACTAGTAACACAATAATAACCTGGAAAAAAACATATATTATATGGAAAATTCTTTTGTATTTGTTTTTTCTTATATGGGACACAGCACACAAAGGAAGAGGTGCACAGTATATCATTACAAAAGAACTAACGCTGAAGGCCAAAACAGCAAGCTGCCTAAGCGGTAGGACTTGACGTCGGCATACATGGAAAACAGTTCAGTTCAGTTGACTTCGGTTTCAACTTTTTTTTTTTTTTTTTTTTTTTTTTTTTTTTAAACAGTCGATTAAGGCAGTGTCTGGGATGCTCCCGGACGCAGGTTCGAATCCTCGTCACGGCCCTTGTGGATTTGTTCATATGATGCATCACATTAGTGTGATCTTTGTGTATATTAATGTTCGTTCTATGCCAATTTCTGACACTTGTTCAGCTTGACTTTCCCTCCGTGGTGCCTACCGGTGTGTTGTCTTTGGCCCCCTCTTTGGGTGGTGTACGTGCTGAAGGGCACCACGTAGGGGCCTTGAGCCATCAGAGGGTTGCCCGTGAGGGGCCGCCCTGAGTGGATGGTTGGGTGCCCAGGCTGGGGCGATAGGGAGAATGGGGTCTTGGCACCAGTGTGGGAGAATGGGCGATGTAGTAGGACCCCTGTTAAAATGGGGGAGCACTGCTGGGGACTACACACCCTTCCTGCACTGCACCATGCTCGGCCTCCCTGGCTGCCCTGGTAGGTGGTATCCCTTGGTTCCATGTCCCAAACCTTTAAATTAATTGATTGCATGGATGTCGACACGACTTCTCTTACTCGGGGGTGAGTTTTGTTGGGTTCCCAGCCATATTGGTGTGTCTTTAAATGAGCGTGCGGATGCTGCCGCCAAGGAAGCTGTCCGCTCTTGTCCCATCTCTCGTAAAGGTATTCCGTTTTCCGACTTTTACCCGGTTATCCATTCCTCCATCCTTACCCGTTGGCAGGCTTCTTGGTCGTCTGTTACTGGTAACAAACTACGTACTCTTAAATGTTGTTTTTCCTCGTGGCCGTCCTCCTACCACCGTAACCGGCGATGGGAAACGGCTCTGGCGAGGTTGCGTAGTGGCCATACTCGCTTAACCCATGGTCATTTGATGGAGCGCCGCCCTGCTCCTTATTGTCCTAATTGCATTGTCCCTCTTACGGTCGTACATGTTCTTCTTGAATGTCCTGACTTCCAGGACGAGCGTGTCTTGCTTTCCGACCGCCCCTCGCGGTCACCTGTCCCTCAATAGAATTCTTGGTGACTTGGATACTTTTGATATTGTTCGCTTTATGCGTTTTTGTTCTCTTATAGGCATCCTTGGTGATATTTAGCGCCCTCTGATTATTCCGCACATTTGATGGTGCTACATAGCCTTCCCGGTTTGGTTCCTTCTTTTGATAATTACTTACTTACTCGGGGGTGGGCGACCAGGCCCCTGAGTCGGACTGTCCTGGAAGACTGGGCTCTCCTTCCTCCTGGATGGGTCGAGCCCCAAGCCCTCTGTGGTGACTGCCTCGTCCCCTTACACGGCTCCATCTCTCATTGTGACTACTGCGCCTAATAACCCAGCTCTCTCTAGAGGTTCTCACCGCCGTCCCCGCCACGGCCGCTCTCGTATGCTCTCTTCCCATACTAATTCGTACCATGCCTTGTTTGGTCCTGCTACGTGGACTAAGTACTTTGACCTCCATCCTTTGGATTAGACTCGTGACGATTTTTCCCTTCATAGGCATCTTGTTGATTCAGTAGATGCCTCTGTTACTTTCAACCCCACCCGTCTCGGTACCTGTGTCATTGCTGCCGCTGCTGCTGCTCTTTAGGATGCAGCTACCCGCTTGGCTGCCTTATCCTGCATTGGCGAGACCCCTGTTTGGGGCTCCAAGAACGCTCGTTTAAATGCCAGTGTTGGCACTCTTCTCCTACCGCACCATGTTGCGAGTGGTGTTCGAAATCTAAGGGATTGCCTCGAGGATATCAAGCATATCCTCGAGGCCCAAGGCCATTCTGTCCTTCAGGTGATACGTTTACTCATCCCCCTCGTGGTCGTCGCCGTCTGCCCCTTCGGGTTGTGAAGATTACCTTTGATGGTAGGACCCTTCCGCCCTCTGTCATTCTTGCTGGTGCCAGATGCTCCGTTCAGGAGTATATTCCATCTCCTAGGCTCTCCTAGACAAGTGCTAGAAGTTTGGGCCTGGTGCCCTCAAATGCTCTTAGAACTGTCTGTGTCCCATGCGTCTGGATGAGGTTCACTCTAAGTTGGAGTGAATTTCTCCCCAGGCCCACTGCCTCAATTGCGGTGAGGCCCACCCCTACCTTCTTCCACGCGCGTGTATACGTTACAAAATTGAGGCAGCTGTCCTCAACTTGAAGCACCGGGACCGTTTGTCTTTTCCTGAGGCGAGGCGCCAAGTTCATCGTCTCCCATTCACTGGCGTCTCTTATGCTCGCATGTTGCACTCTTCCTCTCCTCGTCCCCACCTTCCTCAGTCTCTCAACCGTTTCCAGGCCTTAGACCCAGACACGCCCACCACCTCCTCCCCTGTTCTTTTACGTTCTGTCCCGAAGGGTCCCCCTTCTGGTTCTGTCTGGGGTTCACCTTCTCTCTACCCAGTCTCTCATGCCTCCTGTGTCTTCTTTCTCCTCTCCCCTGTGATCCTCCTTCCCGTCGTTCTCCTCCGTCTCTTGGCTCTCCACGCCGCCTGTCTGTGTGGGCTGATGTCCATCGCTCGCCCGGAGATGATAATGTTCGCTCTCGTTCTTCTTCTTCTATTGAGACGTTCGAGTCTGTTGCCCAGTACATTGCTGCTGGGACACCTGTCTCTTTGAGTCAGAAGTGGAAGCCTGGCTCGTCTCCTTCCTCTTTCCCGGCGGCTAAGAAGGCTTCGCTTTCTTCTTCGCCCGCTATCTCTGGCTCTATCGTTCCATCCCTTCCCGTTTCGGTGGTGGAGCCCCCCTGTTCCCGCTATGGAGGTTTCTTTGGCCCCCGCTTCCGTCTCGGTTGCTACCCTTGCTGAGGTGCGCTCCCCTCTTTCTGCCCCCTCCTCCTGCTGTCCTTGACTGCCCCTCTCGGTTGTCTCCTCCTCCGGACCTTGCTCGTCAACCTCTGGTCTGTCCTCGCTCCCTTCCTACCCAACCACTTGGGCTGGACGGTAGAGCGACGGTCCCGCTTCATGCAGGTCGGCGTTCAATCCCCGACCGTCCAAGTGGTTGGGCACCATTCCTTTCCCCCCGTCCCAT